ACAAGGAAAACATGCTCACATCAGTTTCTTGCTCTAATGTTATAATAAAACACAGGGTTTCAACTGAGTGTGAAACCTGTAGCTGACCTTATGTGACCTGTAACTGTATCATCATTTGTAGCAACATATTCACCATACCCAAGAGAGAGGCAGAAATAAACATGATTTAAAAGTGATTCTCATGAGAAACTATTATTTTATGTGAAACTTTATCATGCAACAAAACAACAATTTATATTCACTTAATTGTATGCCTTGCATTGTTTCAAGTAACTGTCAGCATTCAACTGAAAATGGTGTCCAAATCAACAAAATTATCTTTCTGACCACTTTTATGACTGACTGTTGCTAATAGTATTGTTACTGAACCAGTGGAGCCTTGATCATCCAAAGATAAGTTAACAGTTACTCATAAGATTAATCATATTTTGTGATTTTGTGCAGCAATGGTTGAAAACACAGCTGGCTTTGTTTTAAAAAAGATGTTAAGTCAAGTGAAGAATGTGACATTGAAAATGCCTTTAAATCTTGCCATATATGTACAAAAGCTAAAAAAAACCCTCAATGACCAAATGTCCAGAAATCAATAAATTGTAGAACAGTACACTGGCAAGGCATGTTGGGTTGCCAGAACATAAACTCCTGATTGAAGGTCCACAATACCAGGCATATTTGAATTCCGGTTTACAAAAACATTCTTCCAAACAATACATAGTGAAAATGCTACGTAAGTGTGTACATTGGCTGAATGTAGAATACATCCCATTTTTAAATACAAATCTCTTCTTTATTTAATACATGACCTGTCAGCTGAAGAAACTGATGCAATTGGCATTTTCAAGAATTCTGCCAATCAGTATGACTCAGCTACTTACTACCTGTTCAGAGTTATTAGAGAGCATATCAAATGTTGTTGAGGATAGTCTTAGTCAACAAAAAAAAGCCATGCTCATATTATTTCTGATGACATGAAACCATCAACAGAATCTTCTGGCAAGGGAATGAACTTATTGGGTTTTTTCACATTATATAACTAATATTTTTACTGTGTATTTAAACAATATTATCTTTAAAACAAGTAGTGCAATTTTATCATGCAAGTAAATTCTGATCTGGAACAGCTCATGGTGTGAGTGGATTAATACCAACAAAATCTATCATATTGTACTTTTTGAAGATGTATAAAAAAAACTGCTTTCTTGCTTTTGTTGATTGAAAAGGAAAACTATTGACAACTCTCACCACTTTTCTATAAAAGAAATGAACAAATTTACTCAAAGTGACAGACTCGTGGTATTTAAAAATTTCTTCCTCACCAAATCTGTGCTAATTTTGTTAATGCCATCAGCACATTCAATCACTGATAAAATATAAGCATAAAAAGAGACATTTCCCCATGTACAATTAAAGTACTTGACTGATTATTTCATTTTTATACATGGAGAAATAGCCTTACTCTGATGTCATTGTCCACCATCTTGTGCTGGTACTGATATTCAGAATATATAAATTTAGAACTGTTTGTTCACAGGACTTACAGTATATGTTTCGTAACTTTAGAACAAATGTTTGGATCTCCTTCATAAATCATAAGTCTTGTTTCATATATTTACCTTTTCTCCATCTTTTCTTAGGAAATAAATTATTTTTGTTAAAATTTACATAGCTTGTTGTCTTCACTCTTTTTTTTGTGTTACTTTGAACTCGCTGATATGTAACTATATATATATGTATATGCACACAAACACATGCTGTTTTCACTCAGCGCTTGGGTCTGAAAATTACACGATTTCAGATTTCATTTGCCAGAAATGAATGAAAATTATGATGTGGTTTTTTTTTTCCACTTTGGCTGCCTACAATGAAAGTTCATTTTGCATGGTTATAAATAAACAAAATTATATGTAGAGAGAGAAGTATTTTTAAAAGATCATGGTTGTTCCTGGACAATCAGTTTTGAAAATCAGGTTGCACAGTAAATTACTGTAGTTGTTCTCCCCATAAAAGATTGCCAATATCAAAATTATTGACCAACATTTTGTCACATACATAGCCCAGATGGCACACATTCACTTAACTCTCCATCAATCCATGTAATGGAAAAGTACACTTAACTTACTACTGGTCCTGGTATGCTACAGTACACATAACTCACCATTGGTCCTGGGAATGGAACAGTACTCATAACACACTTGGTATTGGAAAAATACACTTGACTCACCATTAGTCCTTGGAGTGGAACAGTATATTTAACTCTCCATTGGTCCTGCCTAGAACAGTACACTTAACACACCATTGGGCTTGGCATTGAAACATTTAACTCACCATTGATCTTGGTATTGGAACAATACACTTGACTAAATAGGCCTATGCTGGTCACTGCCAATTAGCACCACTTTGTGATTCATAAAGATCATTGCTCATTGGAACTGAACTGCTTGTAGCAGTGTGTACACTGACTGGATACTGTTTGTTTTCACATGCAGTTAATTAGATGTACTTAAATGGGCTATATATTCCAGTCTGAATTGCCATTGTTGCTAATATCAGGTATTGGTCAGTTGTATTTATTTTGATATGTTAATTGTTTTAAGAAGTAAGAATTATTAATGTGGGATAGCATGGAATTGAATTGAGTTTAGTTCTATTTGATCTGATTTACTTTTTAATTTTTTTTAAAATTTATTGATGTAAACAAGTAATAATAGCTTCATTAACCACAATGGGTATGAGTTCATTGACCAAATTATTACTAGACATGCTGATTTTGGTTTTGGGGATTCATAAGTTCATTAAATCATGCTGGAAAGTTATTTTCTGTTAGGTAATGGTTGCTTTTAGAAAATGCTGATTTGTGACCTGAGGTCAGAGAACTATATTTTCTTGTGACTATCAGAATTTTACTAGTTGTGCTTTAACATCTGGCGCTTTAAGTTGTATTATGTTGTGACCAGTTTGGGCTGAATTTTATTTTCTCAAAATTATTGATTTCAAGTAATTCCAGAAAGTTCCTAATGTTTACAAAATAAAATATTAAATATTAGTAGAAAGTGTTACTAAAATTATAATATATAACATGGACAATGTTAGGTACACTAGGTCATTTGTAGGAGAATTCCAATAACCTAGACAAAGACCCAATAAAAATGTTTACTTCTTTTAAAAATGATGTAGATATTAAACCCATACACATTGAAAATATTTAGCTATGTATTAGTTGTTTAAAGAATTTAAAAAATCAGTAATTCAGGTAAAGTAGAAAATAAACTTAATTATGGACAAGGTTGAGTCCAACATACAACATTACAAAAGCATATGATGAAATAAAAGCAAATTAAAAACGAAACAAACATACAAACAATGCAGATTAAATATACATTAAACAATTATCCAACAAGATACAAAAACAGAAGTCAGCTTAGGAAAAATTGGGAGATTGGCATTATTTTTGATGAGTTTTGATATCAAGAACAAATGATTTCAGTGAGACTGGCAAATTTTTCATTACAGCATTTAATTATCAAATGAGAACTTGGTGCTTTTGCCACTTTTTGATTAGATGATTTTCCTGTGAAAATTTGGTGCAATATCCAAGTTAGGGATTGTTATTTTGAATAGAAAGTTTGTAAATAATATTCTGCCATCAACAGGAGGTTATGTTCAGCTGAAAAGTGGGCAAAAGAGTATCTTGGCATATACAGCTTTTTCCAGTGATGCAGATTCAGGGAACATAGATTTCAGTCATGGCATATTTTTTTTTCATATGGTTTCTGCAAAGAGAATCAAAATAATATTTATTAGTTCATGCAGTTGAAGGTCTTTAGTAATCTCCAGCCATAGGCAGTGTTAGTGTAAACATACTGCACTCAAAGCAAAGCATGGAAGAAATAAGAAAAAAATTAAACTTTTAAATAATTTTCAATGCATGGGAAATTTTATTAAGTAACATGAGAATCAGTAGACACCCATCATCTTAGGATAAAAAACCCCTCTTGATGGGAAGGTTCACATATATACAATAAGTATCATGTAAAAGAACAAGTTTTTCAAAAGACTAATGAAAAACTGACACAAGATCATAGACATGTTGTGTAATATTTCCCACAGGCCAGGATCTCATCATTTCATACTGTTTTAGTTTTACACCAATATATTTTTTTCTGGTGTCAGGCAGATTTTTACATTCTGCCAGGCATTTTCTTGGTTGCATAGTAGTCTCTTGCATGTCACATTTAATGGTTATTTATATGACTTATGATTTTTATGATCATAAATGGCAGATTTCACTGATTGCAGCAATGTATCATTTCACTTAATATCATTTGACATGTGGGTATGATTATCTTCCCAATTTGAATTGCACTTTTTATGTCTGGCTAACAAAAATGGTTGCTTATGGACTTGATATAATTTTTATGATCACAAATATCATTACATTAGTATCTGAAGTGCAGTTACTTCAAATGATGATGAATTAAGGAGGCCTTTATTTCAAATGCTTGCAGTCTCCTCTCATTGAACACCATTTTACACACCAGTGAGTAGATATATTTAAAGGGATTTTCCAACTGAATTCTTTTAGTGGACAATGGCTTGGTCTTGTCAGTTTATTTATTTTCAGTGAGTCACTTATTATTGGCCTTTCATCCATTAGAGAAGCTTCAACAGTGATTAAATAAAGGTAATGTTACAACCTCTTCACAATTATATGACTGTTTTAACCATAGACTCTCACACTTATTAGCAGCTTTATAACAAAATGGTCTCTGTTGAAAGGTCATTGAAAGAAATAAAGATGGGAAAGGCAACAATTACAAAGATGATGAACATTTTCTACTTTTATAATGCAAATGTATAAATCAGAACCAGATTTTTTTGGTTCATATAGTTAAAGTGTTTTTGTAATACTTTTTGAAATGACTTAAAGATGACAAACCCTCAATACATTTATTGTGCTGATTTTTTCTCTCACAAAATTGCATATTAAATAGCATCAAACTGCTCTGGTGGCCTAGTGGTTAGAGCATCCGCCTTGGATGTGGGAGGTTGTGAGTTCAATCCATGGCAGAGTCATACCAAAACTACAAAAATGGTACTAACAGCTGCCTTGCTTGATGCTCAGCATCAAGATGTTAGTGTTAGGACTGGTTGGCCTGGTGTCAGGATAATGTGACTGGGTGGGACATCATGCCACAGGTCTGCAGCATGATGTCCCAGCACTAGACATCACTATAAACTGCCACACTGCAGACATCGTAGAGATATGACTGAAAAATTGTTAAAGCTACATTAAAAATCATAATCACATCACATTAAATAGCATCAATAAATTATCCATTGCTATATTGCAGCATTATGCTTTTGATGCCAAAAAAAGCTGTTTAATGTGAGTACATTCTCATACATAGTGGAGAATAGTTATTGACATAGTTACTTGACATTAGGCATGCATAGTACTGTCATCTTTTCCAAGAACAACATGCCTAGATCATCACCAGAGAAAATTTGCTTATAGCAAGTATTTCTATAATTAGCAGTCTGCTTTTAATTCTAATCTCAATGTTGCACTATCTGCTTCATAATTTAAATTATATGCTAGTAACATTTTATATCTTTGGAATTAAGCCTCTTTTTAAATTTATATATATAGTTACCTCATGTTTTCCACCCATTAAGAGTTTGGATATACCAGTTTGCAACTAAGTTAGCATGTACTAGCAGCAGCCTCTCTTAGCACTCAGCATTAAGAGGTTAGTGTTAGGAATGGTCAGCCTGGTGTCAGAAACATGTGACTAGGTGGGACATGATGCTACATGCCTGTGGCATGATGTCTCATTGCTAGACATTACTATAAACTGTCACACTGCAGACATCATAGTGATATGGCTGAAAAATGTTAAGGCTATGTTAAATATCTAAATCACACAGACACAGATAGACACACACACACCTTTTTGATGGAAGTGTTTGTGTTTGTGTTTATTTAAAATTTTGCTGTTTCATTTTTAGAACTTATAATTAGCACTATTAGTAGAGTTTAGATCTTTATACTAGTTTGATGGGAACTAGTAAAATGTTGCATGTATTTAGTCAATCAAGTGAATTTAAAACAAGAAAAACAGTAGAATCAAGGAGTAGGAAAGAAAGCAGAAAGAAAGAAATATATACATTCTGGTCCATCCAGTTATGGTAAGAAATTCAATGCATCATTTTGTTCTTTGTCATGAATATGCTTATATGCATGACCACAATGATCAGATGTCTTTATGATAAATATTAGATTACACTAGAGCAGTCAAATGTCATAACAACCAGCATTAGATCACACAAGATGGAACAAATGTCTTAATAACCAGTGTTAGATCACACTAGATGGATCAATTGTCTTAATGACCAGTGTTAGGTCACACTAGAGGGATCAGATGTTTAAATGACCAGGGTTAGATCACACTATATAGATCAAATATCTTTATGACCAGTGTTAGATCACACTAGAGAGATCTTTTGTCTTAATAACAAGCATTATATCACACTAGATCAATCAGATGTCATAATGGCCAGCATTAGATCACACTAGAGGGATCAGATGTCTTAATGACCAATGTTAGATCATACTAGAGAGATCAGATCTCTTAATGACTAGCATTAGATCACTAGGGGATCAGATGAGTTAATGACCAGCATTAGATCATAGTTTTAGGTCTCACTAGAGGGATCGGATGTATTAATGACCAGTGTTAGATCACACAAGATGGATCAGATGTCTTAATTATCAATGTTAAATCATACTATATACATCAATGACCAGTGTTAGATCACACTAAAGAGATCTTATGTCTTAATAACCAACATTAAATCACACTAGATCGATCAGATATCCTAATGATCAGCAATAGATCACACTAGAGGGATCAGATGTCTTAATGACCAATGTTAGATCACACTAGAGAGATCAGATCTCTTCATGACTAGCATTAGATCACACTAGATGGCTCATATGTCTTAATGATCAATGTTAGATCACACTAGATAGATGTAATGTCTTAATGAGCAATGTTAGATCACACTAGAGGGATCAGATGTCCTAATGACCAGTGTTAGATAATACTAAAGGGATCAAATGTCTTAATGACCAGCATATGATCACTAGATGGATCAGATGTCTTAATGACTAGCATTAGATCACACTAGAGGGATTAGATGTCCTAATGATCAATGTTAGATCACACTAGATAGATGAAATGTCTTAATGACCAGAGTTAGATCACACTAGAGGGATCAGATGTCCTAATGACCAGTGTTAGATAACACTAAAGGGATCAATTGTCTTAATGAACAGCATTTTATAACTAGATGGATCAGATGACTTAATGACCAGCATTTGATTACACTGGATGGATCAGATGTCTTAATGATCAGTGTTGTATCACACTAGAGGGATCAGATGTATTAATGACCAGTGTTAGATCACACTAGATAGATCAAATATCTTAATGACTAGTGTTATATCACACTAGAGGTATCAGTTGTCTTAATGACCAGTGTTAGATCTCACTAAAGAAATCAGATGTCTTAATGACCAGTATTAGAATACACTAGAGGTATCAGATGTCTTAATTACCAGTGCTAAATCACAATAGGGGGATCATATGTCTTAACGAAAAGCATTATATCACACTAGATGGATCAGATGTCTTAATAACCAGCATTAGATCACACTAGAGGGATCAGATGTCTCATTGACCATTGTTAGATCTCACAGTAGATGGACCAAACATCTTAATGACCAACATTTGATCACTAGATGGATCAGATGTCCTAATGACCTGTGTTAGATCACATTAGAGGGATCAAATCTCTTAATGACTAGTGTTAAATCACACTAGAGAGATCAGATGACTTAATAACCAGCATTAGATTGCATTAGATGGATCAAATGTCCTAATGACAGGTGCAAGTGGTAGATTACAATAGAGGGATCAGATGTCTTAATGATCATTGTTATACCACACTAGATGGATAAAATGTCTTAATGACCAGTTTTAGGTCTCACTAGAGGGATCAGATGTATTAATGACCAGTGTTAGATCACACTTGATGGATCAGATGTCTTAATGACCAGCATTAGATTGCACTAAACCAGCAATAGATCACACTAGAGGGATCAGATGTCTTAATGACTAACATTAGATCACACATGATTGATCAGATGTCTTAATAACCAGAATTAGAGCACATTAGATGGATTAAGTCACACTAGGGGATCATATGTGTTAATGACCAGCATTAAATCACACTAGTTTGATCATATGTCTTAATTACCAGTGTCAGGTCACACTAGAGAAATTACTTGTCTTAATGACCAGCATTAGGTCACACTAGGGGGATCAGATGAGTTAATGACCAGCATTAGATCATACTTGATGGATCAGATGTCCTAATGACCAGCATTAAATCACACTAGAGGGATTAGATGTCTTAATGACCAGCATTAGATCAAACTAGAGAGATCAGATGTCCTAATGACTCTTAGGTCACACTAGAGGGATCAGATGTCTTAATGAACAGTGTTAGATCACACTAGAGAGATTAGATGTCTTAATGACCAGTATTAGATCACACTTGAGTGATCAGATGTATTAATGACATATGTTAGAACACACTAGAGGGATGAGATGTCTTAATGACCAGTGTTAGATCATGCTAGAGGGATCAGATGTCTTAATGACTAGCATTAGATTACACTAAAGGGATCAGATGTCTTAATGACCATTGCTATATCACACTAGAGGGATCAGATGTCTTAATGACTAGCATTAGATCACACTAGATGGATTAGATGGATTAATAAATAGTGTTAGGTCACACTAAAGGGATCAGATGTCTTAATGCCCAGCATTAGAACACACTAGATCGATCAAATGTCTTAGCGACATATGATGGGTCACACTAGAGGGATCAGATTTCTTAATGACCAGTATTAGATCACAATAAATTAGATGTTTTAATGACCAGCATTAAGTCACAATAGGGGATCATATGTGTTAATGACCAGCATTAGATCACACTAGTGGGATCAGATGTCTTAATGACCAGTGTTAGGTCACACCAGAGGGATCAGATGTCCTAATGATCAGTGTTAGATCACACTAGAGAGATTATATGTCCTAATAACCATTGTTAGGTCACATTAGAACGATCAAATGTCCTAATGACTAGCATTATATAACACTAGAGAGACCAGATGTATTAATGACTAGTGTTAGATCACACTAGAGGATCATATGTCTTAAAGACCAGCATGAGATCACACTAGAGGGATCAAATATATTAATGACCAGTGTTAAATCACACTAGAGGTATCAGATGTCTTAATAACCAGTGTAAGACCACACTAGAGGGAACAAATATCCTAATAACCTGTGTTAGATCACACTAGAGGGATCAGATGTCTTGGAAACCAGCATTAGATCACACTAGATGGATCAGATGTCTTAATGACCAGTGTTATATCACACTAGAGGGATCAAATATCTTAATGACCAGTGTTAGATCACATTTGGGGATCATGTCCTAATGACCAGTGTTAGATAACAATAAAGGGATCAAATGTCTTAATGAACAGCATTTGATCACTAGATGGATCAGAAGATTTAATGACCAGCATTAGATCACACTAGAGGGATCAGATATCTTAATGACCATTGAAAGATCACACTATATGCATCAAATATCTCAATGACTAGTGTTAAATCACACTAGAGGGATCAGATGTCTTAATGACTAGCACTAGATCACACTAGAGAGATCAAATGTCTTAATGACCATCAATAGATTACACTAAATGGATCAAATGTCTTAATGACCAGTGTTACACCACACTAGAGGGATCAGATGTATTAATGACCAGTGTGAGATCACACTAGATAGATCAGATGTCTTAATGACTAGTGTTATATCACACTAGAGGGATCAGATGTCTTAATGACCAGTGTTAGATCACACTAAAGGGATCAGATGTCTTAATGACCAGCATTAGAACACACTAGAGGTATCAGATGTCTTAATAACCA